GCCATTTCCTCGCAGTGTGACAGTGGACAAACTTTCTGTGGATTGGTTTCCTCATCTGCAAAGAGGAGATAAACCTGTACTCTCATCACAGCATTGTGCGGATTAAAGGATTGTGTGTAAAGGGCTGAGAAAAGGGTCTAGAACATAGTAATTTCCTTCTCTTGTCACCACTTATGAGTATATACATGAGACTCTCCTAAGACTCAGGTCACTTAAGCAAGAATAGCAGTTTGAAATGCCTTTGGGATATTCTTCTAAATGACTTTTGATTATCCTGATAATGTGTTCTATTTAAGACGAAGAGTGTCATCCAAGCAGAATTATACAGAGAAGTCTTAATTTTGTAGGATTGGAAAGATGGGCCAGTTCAGCTTGTGTCTACTCCCCGCTGCCACCTCTCCTTCAACGAGCTGAAGAAATCAGCGATCATTATATGATATTGATCCCAGGAGGTACCACTGGGATATCAAAAAAATCTTGGCCATTGTTATGGCTCATTTTTTAGTTTCAATTATCATGAGTCTTTTTGTTTGTTTGTTAGTGTGGGCACACTCTGTAAATTACCTCGTCATGGGTACCTATGTGTAGACACGGTTTCCTTGGAGAACAGAAACCATTAATTCAAGTTTCATCACTTTGGGGTCTACTATGTAAATGCTCTTTTCCTGTTTCTATTTTCTTACCCACTTTTCCACCCCCCCTCCATACACACCCTTGAAAGAGCTGTAGGTCTTATTTTTTCCCTACCTCTGATTACTGGACCCAGAACTAGAAGAAGAGGAAGTTTGAGAAACATCATATTTGACTGAATTGACTCCAATCTCTTTGCTCTAGAGTTGTTTGTTTCTTTGTTTGTTTTAATGGCCTGGACTCTAGAGAGAAGTGGAAGAGAAAAATCATTGTAAACCTGAAAGAGATTCTTTGCCAGATTTGGAGGTTGATTATATATGGATGTATTCCCTTTGTTTTAGTTTTTGTGAAATAACATCTGGGCTTTGATTATGAGTTACATATATGCATTGTAAAAAGTTTAGACAATAAAGAAAGCAATGTAGAATATAAAAATCACATGTAATCCTCCCACTCAGCTATAAGTATTAACGTTTTTATATATAGCCCCCTAAGCCTTTCCTTATAAATACATATACACACCTATATAATTTTTATTAAACAAACCAGGATCACAGTGTATACATTGTTTGCAATCAGTTTCAGTTTTCAAACAATAAACATAACCAAAAATAAATTTCAGGAAAGACAAAAGAGCATTCCTTTTAGGCTTCTCCTCACTAATTTTATCCATTTTATTTTCCTGTTCCTTTGCACTTTACCCTTCTTTTATTTCCATCTAGTCCTGTTGCAACTGGTTTCCTGTGTCTTTTAGACCAGGTTTTTGATGAGTAAGTTAATAAAAATTTCCAAATCACAGAATTGATAAATATGACAAAAGTATTCCAAGATCAAGGACTGAGAATTAATATTATTATAACTGACAGACTCAAACAGTTATTAACTATAACACATTATGCATGCTCATTCAGCTGTTGGCTACACTTATCCAAATATCACAGTTTGGCACCTTGTGGGGAGGAGACAGATTTTTGCTGAGATGGAAGCTTTAGCTTCATATGGGATCTTTTTTCTCAAGGGAATTCTGCTTTTTCTGGCCTTTATACTACTTGTTTTCCTCCTGGTTTCATCTTGGAATGGCATCAGTACGTTTCTGCCTCCACAGAATACAGCTGACATATCTAGTCCGTGGTGATCGAAATGGGAAGAGTGGTTACAGGGGCATGTGCGCGCACCCGCGCATGCGTTACTGTTTTGACTGGAAAGGGACAAGAATTACATGGATGTACACATATGTATTTTTGTGTACCTTCCTGTTTGATGTTATATCTCAATTAAAAAAGAAAAATACTGCCTTGATCTACCCTCTTGTGAGGCTGTCTGTGGTTTAGCTGGAGATCTAGTCAATATTTAGTGAATTCCAGAGACTACAGACCAGCCATTGTCTTAGCTATACAGACCACTAGCCTTTTCAGTTCCTGGACCGTTGCATAGAAGGGCAATACCCAGAGATGCTCTCCCACCCCACAAAAGGAGTTTTGTGGTCAGGTAAGTTTAGGAAGTGCCTCATTATCCAGGCCCCTTTGAAAGATTCAGAGTGCACATTGAAATATCAAAGGCTCTAAATCTTACAGCAAAGAAACACGTTTATTCCAACTCATCCTAAACTTATTTAACCATGTCACTCTTTTAATTAATACCTATTAACACCTCGTTAGAATAATCAGCTTATGCTTGGAAGCCTGGTCAAGGCCTACCCACCAGCCAGTGCGCCACCTGCTGGTTTTATTGAGTATGAGGTCACTCTCAGGAAGCTTGTTTTCACTAAATCTCACTCTCAATCCAGAGTTCATTGTCCTAGTGCTCTTGATTAGTTTTTTCTTCACATTGAAATACCAGGGACTGAACAACATAGCTTGCCATAATTCAGTTCCAAAAGGAGGCTTTTAGAGAATTTAGACTCTCAACTTGGAAGTCAGACCATACAAATCAGCGCTGAGTATCAATGTCCAAAAGGAGTGAAGCGTCTGATCAAATGAGAACATAGAATGAGTGCAAAGTTCTTTAGAATTCTAGGATTTTACAGATTAAATACTTATGATAAAAAATTCAGTTAGTCTGTTCTGTTTATTCTCTAATTTGAAGTCAGACTTATTTTTAACAGGCTTGTTCAACATCTGATGAACTAAGCTATAATTCCACCTAAACCCAATGAGTCATTTTTTTTTTGAGAGAGAAAGAGCGCACGTGTGTGAGTGGGGGAGGGGTGGACGGTGGGGAGAGAGAGAGAGAGAATCTTAAGCAGGCTCCACGCAGAGTGCAAAGCCTGATGTGGGGCTCAATCTCATGACCTTGAGATCATGACCAAGAGTCGGACACTTAACCGACTGAACCACCCAGGTGCCCCTCACTACTCTTGGTTCTTGAGGTTATAGTTGTTAAAGTGATGCCATAATTGATTTGGGAAGAAGAAATAAAAATAATATAAAGGACAGGAATGTGATGATAAAGTACACTTATGCCATAACTTATTTTTTAAAGAGCTTATTTTATCACATATTTGTTTATAGACTGCCACACAACCTAAGAAGAAGATTTTAAAATGTTTTCTACAAATAATCTTTCACAATCTGTTCTATATGTGTTCCTGTCTCAAAGTAATATATATTGCTAGCAGAGATTTCTCTAAAACCATGATTTTTGCTGGAATGGCTAACGGTTGGAGCATATGCACAGTTATTACCTGACACTGGGTGGGTTTAAAGGAGCTGGGCAGCTGGGTTTGGGGGCCCCTCCTTCCCTCTGCATCTTCATCTTCTTATCTGATCTGGATTTCTCTAAGGAGCCCCAATTCCATGGAAAAAAGCAGCTGGGATCTGAAACCTCTGCCTAATTCTTCAAGGGTGAAGGTGCTTATGTTCCAAATTGCCAAGTTTTAAGGAAAGAAACTCCTAATTTTAAATACTGCCAATTATTATTATTATTTTTTTAAGATTTTATTTATTTGACAGAGAGAGACACAGCGAGAGAGGGACCACAAGCAGGGGGAGTGGGAGAGGGAGAAGCAGGCTTCCCGCTGAGCAGGGAGCCCGATGCGGGGCTCGATCCCAGGACCCCGGGATCATGACCTGAGCCGAAGGCAGACGCTTAACCGACTGAGCCACCCAGGCGCCCCAATACTGCCAATTATTTATAAATAATTTTATTCTCAAAGAAACATGGCCTGTAGTGTGTCAGCCTCACTATAAAGGATTGTTTGAATTCAGCTCCTGGAGCAGTATTCCCAGTATTCAAAGATTAGTTGCATCGGAATCATACAACAATGGTCTTATGCTGATTCCTGGGCTTTTCCTCACACCTACGTAGTCTGCGAAGGCAGGACTGAGGTCTCTGCATGGTTAACAGGCCCATAGGTGCTGATCCCAACTCCTTTGGAGATGGCTTTTTTTTTAATGATGATGATAGATCTACTGGCAGAGTTGCTGATCCAGATGAGGCATGACATCCCGCATTTTTAAAGAATTCCACAGGTTATGTGCATGAGCACTGAAGGTTGAGAACTGCTCCAGGAGCTGATAATGTTGAAAGATCTAGTTGATTTGTCAGCGAATTGTTGGTTATTGCAGAGAAGGACAGGCAAAAAAATGACACAGATTTAGAGTATTTATTAGTGAGGGTTGGAGGAAATCATGTGAATGGAAGATTGAATACTATCACCCCTCAGCCTAAAAAAGGCTCACAGTGATATTTCAACGACCTTAATTCTGAACCCTGGCTGTCTTTAGAATTCTCCAGGAGTCGGCTTTTAAAATTTACCAGTGCCTGGGCCCTACTCCAGACCAGTTAAATCAGAATCTATGGGGGTGGCCTGGGGGTGTGGGTGAGGTCTGAGCTTCTGCTGATTTTAACAGCTCCTGGGATGACTTTCTTGTGCAGCCAGCTCAAGCACCATTGCTCTATGACATATGAGAAACTGTTTGAGTCACTTGCTCTTGCTGACATCACAAACGGTTCGTTTTGCTTCCAGACCCTTGGAGCCCAGTCTTCAGAAGAAATGAATGCTTGGCACTGTTCTTTTATCTCTTGTTCCCACCTCTTAAACCAGCATCATTAGGATTCACTGTTTTATTTATAAAAGCAGTAGCCACCTGCTTTCTTGTAGCCGTATGTTGCTCAGAACAAAGGCCAGAAACTTACATACCTTATACATTTTCCAGTTAAAATTTTTTGGGGGGAGGGGCTAGTATTTGTGGAATTCTGTGATCTGTTGCTTGGCAACTTCAAGAGACTTAAGCTTCTGCATTCTGTGAGAGTCAGAATTACAAAGTTTGGTGAGCCCAGTCAATTACCTCTTGCAACCAAAAGGAAATTAATTGTCCATTATGCAGAGGGCTTGAAAAGTTGGCGTCCGGAGCAGGCCATCCATAGCTATGTCACACTTCTTCTACTTGACTCCACAGATCGTTCTGCCCTTTAGCCCTCTTACCTCTCCAGAGTTCGATCTGATCAGACGCAAGGCTGGAGCATCTTGGCAGAAGGAAACAAGATGGTTGGACTCTTCTGTAACAACATACACAGGCAGTTACCGGAAAAAACAACTGGATAAGTCCACGAGCAGCCGATTTTCTTTTAAAGCAGGACAGCATCGGCCTGAGTGTAACCAGTAAGATTTCTTTGTAATTTGCACCTGGATGTGTCACTATAAATAGACAAGAATGCTCTTAAGAGGAAGAGGGTATTGTGGACCCTGAGAGACTTCATAGACTTTAACTCTGTATATTTTCCTGTGTAAATGTCAGCGGGAAGAAGAGCTAAATGTCAGTTACCAGCTGAAATTATGATTATATTCTCTTTTAGTCCTAACATTATATATAACTACCTACTCTTGTAAAGATAAAAATGTGAGTATTTGATTAAATTGTAGGTATTTTGTATTGTCTGCTCGGCAAAGAGGTGCTCCTTAGAATTTCTCTTTGTTTCTGGTCTAGTTTTTCCACTTTCAGAAGTTGAAAAATTCCCTCAGAGCAGGAAGAAAGTGGACTAAATCCTCCTCTTTCCCCACCTTGTGTTGTCTATCAGTAAAGGCAAGCGGTAAGGGCCTGAAAGACATTTTCTGGGTGTTCACTTTAAGCTAAGTCTTCTAATAGGCCCACAGGAAAAAATTAATTCGTTTAATATGGTAACTGAAACTATAGAAATAAGTAGTCGCAAAGGAAGGAGATTTTATCGGTGTCTGTGGGGGGGGGTATTGTGTTTCTGGAAAGATCTCAGTAAAGCAGGTTTCCTCTGAGCTGGCTTAGGTGGGGAAAGGAAAAGCACAGTGCATGGACGAGAGAATATGCACAAAGGCAAAGAAGTGTTTAATCCCAAGCATTATCAGAGAACCACAAATAGCTCAGTGAAAGCGTAAGTAGAAATGTGGAAAAATATGAGGACTTGTTATGAAATATGTCCCTCTGGATATTAATTGTCTAATATCTTGTCCAAATTCTGGAAATTTATTTGAAAATCAATTGGATTTTTGGCTCCAACTTGAGATGTGAGTAATAACTCAAATAATGCCCTAATAATTATTAATTATATTGCCTTCTAGGTCTTTCCAAATCATCAAAACGGTGCTTAAAGCTGAAATATCTCAGAATGACTTTTCTATTGAATGCCTTGTCTAGTTTATTCCAACAAACTATAGTCTCTGCATTTTTAATGGCTCTCAAGTATGTTGACACTTCAGTTAATTTTGGAAATCCCTTTGCAAATTCTGTGAATTTTGAAGTACATTTTGGCCAATTAGGGGGAATCTTTAAGCACTGCCAGGGTCCTCCCTGAAAATAGTGTTTGAAATCTGGTATCCAAACAGATCCACTCACCAGAGTAGAAAAAAATGTTTAATCACTAAAAAAAAGTGCAGAAATATGACATCTGGTGAAAATGTCCAGAAATATAAATTTGTGTCCTATTTAGATTGTGATCATTAGGTGCATCCTTCCAACCAATGCCCCTTGTGACATTGCAAACCATAGGAGACCCAAAGCTTGCGAGATCTGTCTGTTTTTTGGGACCTCAGAAAAGTAAATATAATCTTGGCACAACTACAGCTTATTCTATTATAGGTTAAGAAGCCAGTCAGTGTTATAAATGAAGATGAAGGGCAGATTTAGCTCATTTTGAAAACACTGATTATATTCTAAATTTGCTTTTGTTTTTAATCTTTGTCTGGGTTAATTTTAGCCCCAAGGCAAATGTCTTAAGTTCTGGGCGAAAACTGTTTGATTGAAATTTTGTAAAGCTATAAGCAGACATTTTTACACTGCTATAAAACCAAAATGGTCCAAAGGGGGATTTTGAATAAAATATAAAACAACTGATTATTTAAAATGTGTTAAGTCGGGAAAACATCAAAGTGTACAAAACACAATACCTTTTATTCACCTTATCTATTCACCACATACATTGAATACCCATATAGTGAAAAGACAGAAGAAATTTGGGAGAAGTCTTAATCATTTGGTTCTGAGTCAGTTTTAACAGCAAATATGTAAAATTTACCAGCAGGCAAAAAGAAAGATCCTGCACTGGGAGATGAGTGTGGTGCAGAGCTTAGACTGTCAGTCTCAATCCCACTTATCTGCCAAAGTTAAAATAAGAGCTACATTTTGACATCTGAAACTAATGTAACATTGTATATCAACTGTACATCAATCAAAAAAAAAGAGTTGCACTTTGGAATTCCTAAGACAGGGATATGGCTCAGTATAAAGTTCTAAGTCTTGATGCTTTGTTTATTTATTAAATTATTCACTCACTCATTCATTCATTCATTCATTCATCACATATTTATTAAGATCCTACTATATGTAAGGTCTTTTAGGATGGGTGCTGGGGCTACATCAGTGTTGGGAGCATATACACGGCCCTTGTCTTCATGGAGCATATAGTCTGGTGAGGGAAACAATCACCAGGGAAACGAGCCATTTGTGTTTGAAGGAAACAAACAGGAAACTTCGTTAAAAAAAAAAGAGGGGTGGCACTTTCTTACAAAACTAAACATAGTTTTACTGGTGATCTAGCAGCATGTTCCTAGATATTTACCTAACTGATTTGCAAACTTATGTCTACATAAAAACCTGCACATGAATGTTAATGCCACTTTATTCATAATTGCCCCAAAGTGGAAGGAAACAAAATGTCCTTCAATAGGTGAATAAATTAAAAGAAAAACCAAACAACTGTGTCACATACATACAGTGTAATATTATTCAGCAGTAAAAGGAAATGAGGTATTAAGCCACAAAAAAACATGGATGGATTTTTTTTAAGTAGGTAGGCTCCATGCCCGGTGTGGGGGGGCCCAGCTCATGACCCTGAGATCAAGAGTTGGATGCTCCATTGACTGAGCCAGCCAGGAGCCTCCCCTGCCCTTTCTTTTTTTTTAAGTAAAGACATGGATGAATCTTAGCTCCCTAGCCCTAACTGAAAGAAGCTGGTCGGACAGTCACATATTGCATATTCAACTATATGATATTTTGGAAAAGCAAAACTAAGAGGTGAGAATGATCCACATGGTAATGGATTAGAATTGAATACATCAGCATGAACTCATGCATAACTTAATATAAATATAGATGGTTATGTAAAGAAACATTTATTGGTTTGTATATATACATAGATTAGTATGCACACATGTACTTCCTTACTGTTTGGAGGAAAGCCCTATGTGCAGCCCATATCAGCATGGGACATCAGCTGAGAGGAGCAACACTTTGGGAGAGCAAGCACACCGAGTACCCAAAGTTTAGTTTCCGGTACTATTCTCCAGTAATGGGATCAGAGTTTCTTGGAGAAATGCTGATTCTCAGACTGGAGCAGGAGATATACAAGATGAGTTTGGAGTATCTTATAGTGCCAGAAAGTAAGAAAGTGTCCAACAAAACAAAACAAATAAAAAAACAATGATGGAACCATCTGAAAGAGCTCCCAATGACTGAAGCTGGAAAATTTGAGCAACAAAATAAAGTAGTATTGGATTATAGCCCAAAGTATAAAATAACCACAAGCCATAGTGTTATAAATAAATGATTGAATAAATTCATTAATGAGGGACAAAGGACACATCTCCCATGCAAAACATTTTCATAATTCATGTAGCTACATTGTACTCAAAGAGGTGGAGCATAACTCACTACCACTTAAGTAAGAGCTGTGCATAGTGACTTTCTTCCATTGAATATAGAAAGTGAAAAGTGGGGAAGCCTGACAAATATTACTTCAAGCTGGCTGATCAAGTTTAATGAATGTCAACAATGATAAGCCATACTTAAGTCTTCACCCTTACTATGAGAATAGTATTTTACCTCTGTGGTATTCTCCCTCAAAATACATTACCCTCATCTAATCATGAAAAAAACATCAGATAATTCCCAATAGAGGGACATTCTACAAAATATCTGACCAATAATCCTCAACACTGTCAAAGTCATCAAACCAAGGAAAGTCTGAGAAACTGTCACTACTAGGACAAGCCTAAGAAGACATGATGACTAAATGTAATGTCGTATCCTAGATGGGATCCTGGAACAGAAAAAGGACATTAGGGAAAATACTGAGGACATCTGAATAAGTATGGATTCTAGTTAATAATGTGTCAATATTGGTTCATTAACTGTTACAAACATACCATTCTAATGAAAGATGCTAATAATAGGGGTAACTGGGTGTGGAGTATATGAGAACTCTATAATATCTTCACAATAATTCTGTTAATCTAAAAGCATTTTCAAGTTAAATTTTTACTTAAGAAGGGTAGCACTGGAGGAGCTAAGAGGAGAAATAAGCAAATGCACAATCACAATTGAACATTTTAACCCACATCTCTTAATCACTGGTGGAACAAGCAAATAATCAGCAAAAACACACCAAATTTGAACATGATTAAGACACTTGTCCTGGGTGACGTATCTAGAGTAGTGAACCCACCAACTGAAGAATATACATTCTTTTCAAGAGCATATGGAACATTTTTAAGGACTGACCATAGGTCTTCAGGAAAATCACTGCTTTCCAAATACTTCAGGATTATTCTGCAAGGCCCAGTCAGAGTTACCACAGCTTTCATCTTCTGGGGCTTGTATTCCTCCTGAGCAACAATGAGGCCACATGGGAGTCCAAGGTTGAGATAAGAAAGCAAGCATTGCCCTAGGGTGTCTCTTACAGAGACAAATCCCTTTATGAAGAAGCAGCAGCACATTGGACCATGCTTCTGAAGTAAAGAGGCACGGGGCCAGGTCTTCCTGAAAGCCACAAGACAAATAGGGAGCATTAGTTTGTTATAACAGCCATATAAAACTAATACAAGTGGAACAGAGAGGAGAAATGTTTTTAAACTGAAGGAACGTATAAATGAATTTTATGACAAAGGAAAGGATAACAATACAGAATTTTCATAACTGTTTAAATTAAAACAGGAAATAGAAAAGAAAATTCGTGCCTAAAAGTAAGTTTTAAAATGATTTTTTAAAAAAAATGCCACTTATGGGAATGCAAGCTGGTGCAACCACTCTGGAAAACAGTATGGAGGTTCCTCAAACAGTTGAAAATAGAGCTACCATACGATCCAGCAATTGCACTACTGGGTATTTACCACAAAGAGACAAATGTAGGGATCCGAAGGGGTACGTGCACCCCAATGTTTATAGCAGCAATGCCCACAACAGCCAAACTGTGGAAAGAGCCAAGATGTCCATCGACAGATGAATGGATAAAGAAGAAGTGGTATATATACACAATGGAATATTATGCAGCCATCAAAAGGAATGAGATCTTGCCATTTGCAACGACGTGGATGGAACTGGAAGGTGTTATGCTGAGTGAAATAAGTCAATCAGAGAAAGACATGTATCATATGACCTCACTGATATGAGGAATTCTTAATCTTAGGAAACAAACTGAGGGTTGCAGGAGTGGTGGGGGGGTGGGAGGGATGGGGTGGCTGGGTGATAGAAATTGGGGAGGGTATGTGCTATGGTGAGCGCTGTGAATTGTACAAGACTGTTGAATCACAGATCTGTACTTCTGAAACAAATAATGCAATATATGTTAAGAAAAAAAAAAAGAAGAAGAAGATAGCAGGAGGGGAAGAATGAAGGGGAGTAAGTCGGAGGGGGAGACGAACCATGAGAGACGATGGACTCTGAAAAACAAACTGAGGGTTCTAGAGGGGAGGGGGGTGGGGGGATGGGTTAGCCTGGTGATGGGTATTAAAGAGGGCACATTCTGCATGGAGCACTGGGTGTTATGCACACACAATGAATCATGGAACACTACGTCAAAAACTAATGATGTAGGGGCGCCTGGGTGGCTCAGTCGGTTAAGCGACTGCCTTCAGCTCAGGTTGTGATCCCGGGGTCCTGGGATCCAGCCCCACATCAGGCTCCCTGCTCAGCGGGAAGCCTGCTTCTCCCTCTCCCACTCCCCCTGCTTGTGTTCCCTCTCTCGCTGTCTCTCTCTCTCTCTCTCTCTATCAATTAAATAAATAAATAAAATCTTTAAAAAAAAACCTAATGATGTAATGTATGGTGATTAACATAACAATAAAAAAATTTTAAAAATGCCACTTACATTGCTAAAGTATGTCAAATTTCTAGGAATAAACGTAATCGAAGATGCGCAAAATCTCCACACTGAAAACTATAAAACATTACTGAGAGAAAATAAAAATAATCTAAGTAAATGGAGAGATAAACCACATTCTTGGATTGGAAGATTGAAAACTGTAAAAATATTAGTTCTCCACAAATTGACCTATAGATTCAATGCAATTCCAATAGGTGTTTTTGTGGAACTTGGCAAGATGATTCAAGGCCAGGAAATAGTCAGGACACTCTCAAAAGAAAACAAGGTTAGAGGGATTGCTACAGATAACAAAACTTACTATAGAGCCTCAGTAATTAAAGCAAGATGGTATTCTGGCACAAGGATAGACAAATAGACCAATGGAACAGAATAAGGAGCCCAGAAACAGACCTGTGCATATATGGACACTTATTTATGAAAAAGGTGGCAGAGCAGTAGAGAAAAATCCATGTTTTCAATTCTAGGTAGATTAATTCCAGATGAATTAATGATCTAAGTATGAAAGGCAAAACAATAAAACCATTAGATGACAGAGAATTTCTTGATGATCTTGAGGTTGGCAAAGATTTCTTCAACAGAACACAGAAAGCACTAAGCACAAAGAAGTTAGATAAATTGAACTACCTTAAAATTAAAAAGTTCTGGTAAAAAATACACCATTAAAGGTATGAAAAGGTGAGACACAGGAGGATGAAGATATTTTTAACTCAGTGACTGACAGAGGGCTCGTAAATATGATAGAGTATAAAGAGGTCCTACAAACTAGTAGGAAAAAGACAACCCATTAGAAAAATGGGAAAGAGATTTAAAAAAAAAACAAAATTCACAAACCAAGATATCCAAGCGATGAACAAATGTATCAAAAGGTACTTAACGGCATAAATAATCAGGAAATACAAATTAAAACCCCAACAAGCTTACTCATGTAAACAACCCTCCAGAAAGGTTAAAATTAAAAAGACCATCAATGCTAAGTGTTGGTGAGGTTGTAGAACAAGGAGATCTCTCATATACAGCTGATGGGAAGGGACATTGATATAACTCTTTAGAAAACCAGTTTGGTCTTGGGGTACTGGGGTGACTTAGTCAGTTAAGCGTCCAACTCTCCAACTCTTGATCTCAGCTCAGGACTTGATCTCCAGGTTGTGAGTTCAAGCCCCACACTGGGCTCCACACTGGATGTGGAGCCTACTTAAAAAAAAGAAAGAAAAGAAAATCAGTTTGTCTTATCTAAAGTTGATGCTATGGGTACCCTAAAACTTAGCAATTCCACTTCTAAGTGTATGCACAGCTGAAATGCATTTCACATGTGCACCAAGAGACATGTATATGCAAGTATGTTCATTGAAGCATTTTTCATAATAGTAAAAAATCTAAAAGGCCAAAAGGTAGAATTAGTACTATACAGCAGAATGGACAGACAGTGGTATATTCATACAATGTCAATGAATATGAACAAACTGTGGTTACACCCAGTAATGTCACAAACATAATGTTGAGCACAAACATAATGTGAGCCAGCTGCAATACATATTGTATAATTCCATATACTTAAATTAAATAGCCCAAGTCATAGTGTTTGGGTGTGTCTGCTTAGGTGATAAAAAATATAAAGAGAAGCAAAGAAGATTTCTATAGAAGTCAGTAAACTGGTCCACTGCCTATCTGTATCGGACCACCTGCCCTAAACCTATTGAAAATTAATTACTGGGATCAGGCTCAGAAATCTGCATTTTAAAATTAATATCCTCTGTTGACTCATCTGCTGTTGTAGGTTGGGAGAAGAAAGAAGCAGAGTGGATTAGCAGCCCTTGTCTCAGGGATGATTAGGGCTAGTTGGTTGGCTGAATGCATGTCTAGGAGCATTTTGGGACTCCCTAGGCTGACATCAATTCCACTCTTCCCCTACTTCACACACACAGTTCCAGGTCTCTGGAGCTTGGAGACCCTCTTGTCCCCTTAATCAGAGGCCAGAACCAATGTGCTGCACACTAGGAAGTGAGGACTGTCCATTCCATACAAAATAACAGTGCTTCCCACCAAGACCCTGCTTGCCTTAAAAGAGTATCGTATCTGGATTCGGGGAAACCGAGATAGAGATGCGTTTTGAAGGATAGGCACAGCATCTATAAGTTCCTGAACTACTCCTCTGCTATTCAGTCCTACACTTTCCTGGGAAATCAACACACTCACTGTGATATTTCTTGTCCCGTTCATAGCACTTCGCTTATTTTGAAAACAACTCCCTAGAGAAAGACTCACAAATCCTGTTAAAACAATTATGAACTCAGTGTTTGAGCTTTTCATGTGTAAAAGCTGAACAGTTTACCCTTTTATGACTAAGGACGATGAAAAAGTCCAAGTCGGGTTGATTTCATGGGAGTTTGGGGCTGTGGTTGGGAGCGTGAAAAGAGGAGAGGAGAAGCAAAAGTTTACGAAGTCAAACGAGGATGACTGAAAATCCCTCTAAGTCCACAGGCTGTGGCTTATAGACCCACGAACTCGTAACTTGTTTCCTCTGCTTCCTTCAGGATATCATCACCAAATTCTGCCTTCAGTCCCACAGTCTGCAGGGCTGGCTCCCGAGAGACTACGGATGCGAAGTCAGTTGTGAGCTCAGCCTTTTTGCCAGGGTTGCTGTCTTTGTAACGTGTAGGTTCTTAACTGTAGTCCATCCATTTCCATTCTGCCTGGTAAAGGCCAGGTGTCTCTAGCAAGAAAACGAGTGTGTTGCCCTCTGGATCTGTCACTCTTAAAAATGAATTATTCCAGGGCCAAAATGTCCTGCTCCTTATTAGTCAAGCCTCAGAATGTTGTTTCTGCCAGAGTTTGGAGCTTTTAGGTAATGCCATCTGAACCTCACTGGGTACATCAAAAACCTAACAAGAGAAACCAAAGCTATAAACCACGAACTAGTAAACTATATTTACTAATCTACAGCCACCTCCACCCTGTTTTGATTAAACTAGACTAACACTAGCTGCTATAATACAAATCTTAAATTCTAGTTGCTTAACACAATAAAAGTTCATTTTTTCCCTTCATATAAAGGCCAAGGTGGGTGTTTTGCAGGCAGACATTCCACATGATGATTCAGGGACACAGATGTCCTTTAGCTTGGGGTTACACCATCCCCTGGGGCGCCGGAGTCCTTTGCTTCCACCGGGATAAAGGGTAGGGAAGGCACACCTTCTTTCCTACCACTTTAGCCTGGAAATGACCCGTGGCTCTCATGCCCACATTCCAACAGCACAAGTAGCCACAAGGCTCCACCTAGATCCCAGAGCGTTCAGAAGTGGGTTCCTGGGCTGGGCAGCCACTTCCTGGTAACAAAACGGCACACTATGGAAGGGGACAACTGGTCATCCGCCACACGTGCTGATTTTGAGGAAGAAACACAATAGATTTTTCCCATATAACTTCCACCTCTCAGAGTTCCATCTTCGAAGGTTTAATAAGACTCATGATTGAAATCTCAAATTAGGACTTTTTAGTACTTTATAAAATATTCTGGTCATTTTTTTGCTGTTGTATTTAAAGGTTTAACGTGTATGCATGTGTTGGGTGGGGAGGGTGGACGGTAAAAGGAAGTATCGTGCAGCCTTATGGGTTTTCCTAAATAATGGATATAAAAGTTTTTCATCGCTGCCTGGGGCAGTCACTTTTCCGCTGGCTTTCCTAATAAAATCTGGCTTTATCGGAGTAGCAATTGAGGTGGGTTTTCTGTGTTCTTCTAAGGTTTGTTGAGGCAAGAGGACAGGGCAGCTAACCATTTGCGCTATTGTTAAAATCAGGAAAGACTTTCTTTTTCCCCTTTGCAGTAATGAACAGAAAATTAAAACACACTGCATAGCTGGGAGACAAGTCTGAGCTAGGGCATGGGGAATTAAACAGCCTGATCACGTCCTTCGCAGTAAGTTAAGGTGACAGTGCCTCTGATCTGAGTGGCACAGAGTCCAGGCCTATTGCAGTTATGCTGCTGTCTCTACCCTTCAGAATGCTGATGAACCATGCTAATCACCGGCGGCCCGTGAGTGCTGGTAGCTGAGCAGTCCCAGAGCTGGATGGGTGGAAGTTCTTGAGGGGTGGTAACATGAGCAGCAAAAGCAATCATTTCCTACATGATAGTATTCCTGTATTTTCCTACCTCCTCCACTATTGTTATGGTACAATACTGGTAGGAGGAAAGATAGAGACAACATCAGTGTATATCATGATGATGACTTCTTTTCTTTTTTAAGATTTTATTTATTTATTTGAGAGAGAGAGCAGAGCAGGAGGGAGGAGCAGAGAGAGAAAAAGGCTCCCCGCTGAGCAGGGAGCTCAACGTGGGATTCGATCCCAGGACCCTGGGATCATGACCTGAGCTGAGGGCAGCCGCTTAACCGACTGAGCCACCCAGGCGCCCCCATGATGAGGACTTCTTAAGGGACTTGGCCCATGTTGCCTCTTTCACTCTCCTCCCATGGTCATTTTAACTTAACTGACGACTCCTCTCTTCCTTAAGAGGTGACAGTACATCAAGGTAGAATTACTTAATTTGGCCAAGTAAGAACGTCTTCTTGTTACAACTTCTTCTAGTGCTTTTCAATCTCCATGCTTAATTTTTGGATTATCAAGTGTAATTGTGCTAGAAGCCACTAACAGGAGTTAAAACAGTAAGTCAAGTGAACATGGGTCTGTTGATTGTCTCTTTGTAGATATATATCCCTTTGTAGATATGCAAATCAGACGGGCTGTTCTTAAGTGTGATCTATGATCATCATAGGAAATGTATTCTCAAATTCTTTTTCACAACTGCCTTTCAAAGAGTTCATTCAGTCTTACTTGTTCTACCTACACTAAGGTGGTTTTCCTTTTGCATTACTATTAGTTTTCTTTCCAAGTGTTTGATTTGGTTATGGCTTTCCCTCCTATGGTCCATCATGTGCTTGTCTCTCATGTTCAAAGAAGAACAAAGCAATAGTTCCTGAAAGTTAAAATCTTTTTTTCTTATTGAAGTAAAATTGGCATATAACTAGTATATAAGTTTCAGGTGTACAACATTATAATTCGATATTTGTATGTACTACAACATGATCACCACCATATGCCTCGTTATCTCCCATCACCATACAGTTGGGCCCCTTTACTCATTTTGCCCACCCCCATTTCCCTCCCCCTCTGGTAATCACCAGTCTATTCTCTGTAACTATGAGTTTGTTTTTGTTTTGCTTTGTCTGTTTTGTTGTTTAGATTCCACACAGAAGTGAAATCATATTGTATTTGTTTTTCTCCATCGGACTTATTTCACTTACATCCATATTGTCACAAATGGCAAGATTGCACTGCCTGTTATGGCTGAGTAGTATCCACTATATAAATACCACATCTTCTCTATCCATTCAGTGGATGATCCATCAATGGATACTTAGGTTGCTTCCATATCTTGGCTATTATAAATAATGCTGCAATGGACATAGGTGTGCATATATCTTTTCAAATTTGTGTTTTCATTATTCTTCAGATAAATACCCAGAAGTGGAATAGCTGGATCATATGGTAGTTCTATTTTTAATTTTTTGAAGAATATCCATACTGCTCTCCATAGTGCCTGCACCAGTTTGCATTCCCACTAACAGTGCACAAGTGTTCCTTTTTCTCTACATCCTTGCCAACACTTGTTGTTCTTGTCTTTTTTGATGATGACCATTCTAACAGGTGTGAGGTGATATCTCGTTGTGGTTTTGATCTGCATTTCCCTGATTAGTGATGTTGAGCATCTTTTCATGTACATATTGGTTATCCGTATGTCTTCTTTGGAAAATGTCTATTCAGATCCTCTGCCCATTATTTAATTGGGTTGTTTGGGGGTTTTTGTTGTTGTTGTTGTTGTTAAGTTGCATGAGCTCTTTATATATTTTGGATATTAATAGCTTATCGGATATATCATTTGCAAATATCTTCTCCCATTCAGTAGGCTGCCTTTTTGTTTTGTTGATGGTTTCCTTCCCTGTGCAGAAGCTTTTTAAGTTTGATGTGGTCCCATTTGTTTATTTTTGCTTTTGCTTCTCTTGCCTTTGGAATCAGATCCAAGAAGTATCACTAGGACCAATGTCAAGGAGTTTACCACCTATGTTTTCACCTAGGAGTTTTATGGCTTCAGGTTTTACATTCAAGTCTTTAATCCATTTTGAGGTAATTTTTGTGCCTAGTGTAAGAGAGTGGGCTAGTTTTATTCTGTTGTGTGTGGTTGCCAGTTTTCCCAACACCATTTATTGAAGAGACTGTCCTTTTCCTTCTTGGCTTCTTTGTTATAAACTAATCATCTATACATGTGTGGGCTGATAAGGATCAAGCATTATAAAGCTGCAGTACACGGGCGCCTGGGTGGCTCAGATGGTTAAGCGTCTGCCTTCGGCTCAGGTCATGATCCCAGGGTCCTGGGATCGGGTCCCGCATCGGGCTCCCTGCTCCTTGGGAGCCTGCTTCTCCCTCTGCCTCTCTGTCTCTCATGAATAAATAAATAAAAAGTTTAAAAAAAAAAAAACCTGCAGTACAACAATCAGAAATTGTTAAACAATTCCACTTTCTCTCCATTTACACTCTAAGGCAGACACTAGCAAATCTTTTTTTAAACTAAAGCTTCTCTCTGGTGGAAACGATTTATTCTGCTGTGGAATACAGACTATAGGGCAGCACTCATCAGCTCTCTCTTTCCCTTCTCTTGTTCTTAGCACCACACCTGTGTCCTACCCCCGTACCCCTCTAGGGTGTGCCCAAGGTACCCTTGCAAAAGGGTACACTGGCCTCTTTGATTCTTGCCCTTCCAGGAGACGTAATATATACTAGGGAAGAGGTTTTATATAGTATGACCACATCAAAGCCCAGATGTGACAACATGTGTGAGATCTCCTTGGGATATTCCCTGGCCACCTACAACAAATTCCAAGTCCCTGAAGCAGCTCTCTGGAATGGGAACTGTTTGTATGGTATGTAGCCTCTTATAAGGATGACAGTGTTTAGGAGAACATTAATATTTTAAGAGGGCACCATGAAGATAGTTTGTCATGTTAGTTCAAGAGTATTTGTGTCCATGTTTAACATCCTTCTTTTTTTTTACCTATTCCTTTACTCTCACTTTTATTCTGTGAAGCCTTCTCCAAACCTTGGAAGACTTCTAAAAGCAGTAAGAACTCACCAGACTACCCTATAAGTCGTGTCTTCACACATGAGGAGCTTAAAGCATAAACAGGATGATATCACTTCTCTGTTCCCTATTACACTTGCGATAAAATTCCAATTCCTTACCAAAACCTGTATAAAGTCTTGCATGAATGGGACCCTGCCTATCTTTCCGGTTTCATTGCATGGCTCCTCCCTTTTGCTCACTTGCTATTCCAGTTACATTGGCTTCCTTTAGTAACTTGAAAATGCTAAGCCATTTCCTACCTCAGGGCCTTTGCACATACATTCTCTTTGTTGGAATGCAATTATCCCAGCTCTGCTGAGGTGTGTTCTTCAGGTGTGAATTTAAATGTCACGTCTTCAGAGGGGCCTTCCCAGCCCACCATATTTAAAGTAATTTCTTCACAATCTTCCCCTCTTAATTTCTCTCTTGGCGCCTTGCT